CAGCTGTCTCCACAGCAAAGGGGCTTCACCCCTCGAAGCATCTCCGTGGCCTCCTCTGGACTCGCTCAAGTGGCTCACTTCTCCTCTGTGCTGTGGCCCAGCGCTGGCAGAGTGATCCCAGTGGGAATGTGTCACGGTGGGAAGGGCTCAGTGCCTGCCCCATTCCCATTCCAGAACCCACACTCCACACGGAGCACCCCAAGGGCTCGGGTGGCTCTCGACTTGGCCTCTGGCAAGTCACCCAGCAGCTGCTCCTGTCCCTGGCTGCAGCCCCAGTGCCTCCCCTGGCGCTGCGGGCACGGGGCCAGCCAGGGCAGGAGGCAGCTCTGGGGCCAGTGGGACACAGGGACAGGCAGGACAGCCACAGGGCTGGGGGACACGGGGACAAACAGGACAGCCCCGGGGCTGGGGCACACAGGGACAAACAGGACAGCCCCGGGGCTGTGGGACACAGGGACAAACAGGACAGCCCCGGGGCTGTGGGACACAGGGACAGCCAGGGCAGTACTGGGCTGTGGCACAAGGGACAAACAGGACAGCCCCAGGGCTGTGGCACACAGGGCCAGCCCCGGGGATCCCGTGTGTGACACACGCGTGGCCTCAGGGGTGGGACAGGGACAGCAGCAACACTGACAGGTGCTGGGGAGGGATTTACAAAAATAAACAAACGAAGCCGCAGGGTGAGATCCGGAGGGCAGCAGCGAGGAGAAGCTGCCAGGGCAGATCTGCTCCGTCCGAGCGGCCCAGAGCCAGCAGCTGCTCCTCAAACAGGGACAGGGGACAGAGAGGGAGCCCCGAGACAGGGATAGGGGACAGGGAGGGAGCCCCGAGACAAGGACAGGGGACAGGGAGGGAACCCTGGGAGAGGAAAGACGTGAGCTGAACCTCCAGGAACAGAGCAGTGGGATGTGGAGCCCCAGGAACAGACAGGTGGGAGATGGAGCTGGAGTGCTCCATCCACCCCTCCACTGCTCTATAATCTCAGAAATGCCATCAGCACTGCAGCAAACACTCCAGGGATGTTCCTCTGGGATCCTTCACCCTTTAGATCAGGAGTAAGTCAGGCTGGGGCGATTGTAGCTTTAGATTGACCAGTGTTAGATTTTTGTCTCTGTGTGTTTTAAGCACTCAGTGAGCAGCAGAGCAAACTTTGCCCATGAACCTCGTTGTGCTTTTGCTTTTATTTCAAACCTCCTTTGCTGGTGGCACCTTAAAACTTTTTAAAGCTGCTCTTAAAACTCTCTAACAGGAGAGACCTAGGAGCAGGGAGTGTTTCCCGAGGGGGAATGTGGAGATGGAGATATTGGCCAGGGCTGGAGGTGCCCAGGAGCGTGTCAGGAGGTGCCAGGATGGACTGGGCATCAAGGAACCATGGAACGGTTTGGGTTGGATGGAAAAGTCTCTGAGGGTCCAGCATTGCTCATGGCACTGCCAAGGCCACTCCAGACCATGTCCCCAAGTGCCACATATGTCAAATCTCCCCAGGGATGGTGACTCCAGCCCTGCCCGGGGGACAGCCCCTTGCAGGAAGGAATTTTCCCAATATCCAACCTAAACCTCCCCTCCCCTGTCGCTCGTTCTCTGGGAGCAGGACCCGGCCTCACCTGGCTGCCTCCTCTGCCCCTGCTGGGGTCCCCCTGAGCCTTCTTGTCCCCAGCCCTGGCGGGGACACCAGGAGTGGGGCCAGCAGGACACCCTGCGCTGGAGCCAGAGCCGTGGGAGATGAACAAGACAATTTATTAACAGCAGGACCAGGACGGGGAGGGGACGGGGGTCTGGGGGTGCCCCGGGCAGGGCTGTGGCTCGGCGGAGGGGACAGGCAGGGCTGGTGGCCGGGGGTCCGGGAGTGCCTCCACATGAGGGTGGCGGCTCAGAGCAGGAGGGTCTGGGGGTGCCACAGGCTCGGGGGTCTGGGGACAGACAGGGACAGTGGCTCGAGGGGCTCTGGCGGTGCCTGGGGAAGTGTCTGGAGGTGCCACAGGCACAGTGGCTCGGGGGGCCTGGGGTGGGGACAGGCAGGGACAGCGGCTCTGGAGCGCTGCTGGCACTGCCCCAGCCTGTGACAGGGGTGACAGGGAGGGGACGGCTGGTGGGGGGACAGGACAGGACGGAGGGGCGTTCCAAAGTGCTTCCAGTCCGCGTTCGACGCAAGGGGGGATAAATCTTATTCACAGCGGGGAGGGCAGGGGGCTGGGGGGCCGTGCCAGCCCCACACCAGCGACCCCCGCGGGGCAGGAACCGTCGGGGAACGCGATGAGAACGGCAACAAAACCGAACGGCAACAGAACCGGCTACGGGGAGGGGATCCCGACCGGGGTGGGGCCGCGGGGAGCGGCGGGGCGGGGTGGGGCTACTCCTTGGCCCTGCCGATGATGGCGAGGATGTAGAGGAAGATGTTGATGATGTCGGTGTAGAGGTTGAGCGCGGCGAAGATGTACTCCTCGGGGCTCAGCGCCAGCTGCTTGTTCCCCAGGATCAGCTGCGTGTCCACCGCCAGGAACTGCGGGATGGGGCAGTGTGGGGGAGGAGGAACCGGCGTGTCCCACCAGTTCCCTCCATCCCAAACCAGCCAGGCACCCTGTGAACACCCTGCTCCCTCCACCCTGACACACACCCAGCGTGTCCCCACCGAGCTGGAGCACCCAGGGGTGCTGGTGGCACTGCCCCCCCCCAGCAATTGGGGGTCCCGGCCCCCCGACTCACGCAGGTGAAGAGCAGGGCCCCCAGCGAGGCGTAGACGATGTCCACGATGCGGTTCCGGATGAAGATGCAGAGGATGGAGAAGAGGACGAGCACGACCAGGCAGATGATGAGGACGCCCCGGCACGAGGTGAAGTCGTACTTGGTCTGTGGGGAGGGGGATTGGGGGGTTCAGACCCTGGTGTGGAGCCCCCAGAGGCAGCGGAGAGCTCAGAGGGAGGGGTCACACCCTGCTCAGAAGCCCAGAGACCCAGCAAGGAGCTGGGGGAGGGTTGTACAGCCCATGTGGGTCCCACAGCCCCCCAGGAGCCCGGCAGGGAGTCCAGGGTGGAGCCCCCCAGCCAGGAGCAGGGGCAGCCTGGCACTGACCTGCAGGGAGAAGATGACGACAGTGAAGCAGACGACGACGGTGATGCCCACAGCCATGATGACAGCCTCGGTGTCATAGAAGCTGGCGATCATCCCCACCATGTAGGACAGGCTGACAGTCAGGATGGACTGGGAAGGCAAAGGGGGGAAGCCATCAGGCCTGTCTGCCCAGCCTGGCACCCCAAAACCTTCCATGTGACCCCTGGCTCAGCGTCCCCCGACCCTCTGTGTGCCCCCTGGCTCAGCGTCCCCAAACCTGCCCTGTCACCCCACCCAGCTCTAAACCTCAGTGCTGCAGCACCCCAAATCTGCCCCCTCAGCCTGGCACCCCCAAACCTTCTATGTGCCCCCAGCCCATCATCCTTAAACCCTCTGTGTGCCCCTGGCTCGGCACCCCCAAACCTTTCACGTGCCCCCAGCCCCGCACCCTTAAACCCTCTGTGTGCCCCTGGCTCGGCACCCCCAAACCTGCCCTGTCACCCCACCCAGCTCCAAACCTCGGTGGTGCAGCACCCCAAATCTTCCCCCTCAGCCTGGTACCTCCAAACCCACTGTGTGCTCCTGGTTCAGCACCCCCAAACCTTCCATGTGCCCCCAGCCCATCATCCTCCGACCCTCTGTGTGCCCCTGTCTTGGCACCCCCAAACCTGCCCTGTCACCCCACCCAGCTCCAAACCTCGGTGGTGCAGCACCCCAAATCTGCCCCCTCAGCCTGGCACCCCCAAACCTCCCATGTGCCCCCAGCCCATCATCCTTAACCCCTCCATGCCATGTCCTTGGCTCGGCACCCCCAAACACGCCCCGTGCCCCCAGCCCAGCACCCCTAAACCCCCCCAGGCCGTGCCCCGGGCTCGGCACCCCCAAAGCCACCCCGGCCCGGCCAGCCGTGCCCGCAGCCCACCAGGGACACGAGGTTCCAGGGGTGCTTGCGGCGGAAGTCGCCGCAGCAGCTGAGGACGATGAGGGAGATGAAGAAGACGGCGTAGGACACGTAGTACGTCCACACGTTGCGCTGCACGAAGCCCCGCACGCCTTTGACGAAGGTGAAGACGGTCACGAAGGCGAAGGTGACGGTCAGCTGCAGCGTGAGCACCAGGAACACCTGGGGACGGGGGCACGGGGGGTCACAGGGGAGCCCCCCAGGCCCCGCGTGCCGCCGTGAGCCCCCCGCGCCCCACCTTGCGGATGAAGGCCTGCCGGACGCTCTTGTCGCTCCAGTGCGCCGACGGGAAGTCCTGGTTGTCATAGTAGGAGGGGGGCCCGTCCTCGTGGTAGGTGCTGTGCAGGGGGGCTGCGGGCAGGGGGGCACGCCGCTTGGTGGGGGTCCCAGGAGCCATGGGGAGTGCCCCCCAAAGCCGGGCGGCACGGCTGGCACCGCTCTGGGCAGTGCATCCCCATCCCGGGGTCACAGCCAGCGCCGTCCCTGCTGGGCACGGCCCCCCAGCTGCCCCCCAGGATGTGTGGGGCAGCAGGCAGCAGCCATGGGGGGGTCCCTGCTGCCCCACTGGGACCCCCTGAGCTGCCAGAGCCCCCCACTCTCTGCGCTGCTCCCCCTCCAAGGGAGCCCCCGCGATGCCCCCAGTGCCCAACGCCCCACCCACCTGAACCCCCAGACTCAGAGAGGAGCCAGGGGGGTCCCACCCCCCATTTGGAGCCCCCCACCCCCCTTCTCCTGGTACTTACAGTCCTGGTCGCCGGGGACCATGGGCTGGGGCTGGGCATAGGGCGGCTGGCCGTAGGGGCCCTGGGGGTACGGCCCAGGCGGGGGGTACGGCCCGGGGGGGTACGGCCCGGCCGAGGGGTACGGCCCCGGCGGCGGGTACGGCCCCGGCCCCTGCGTGAAGCCCGGCTGGGGGTAGGGAGCGGGGCCAAACTGGGGCTGGGGGTACGGGGCGACGGGGTAGGGGGGCTGGGGGTAGGCCGGGGGGGCTGTCGGTGGTTGCTGGCCCCCGAAGCCGTCGCTCGTCACCAGGAAACTCTTCTCGTGGGACATGGTGGCCCGCAGGCTGCGGCCGCCTTGGTGCTGTGGTGGGGGACACGCGGTTAGGGGTGTCATCCCCCACGGCTGTCACCCACCCCCCTCCTGGCTGTCACCCACCTCCTTGTCATCCCCCAGAGTCATTGTCCCCCTCCTCTTCGTCATTAACTCCCCAAGGCCATCAACCCCCCATGGCCACCAGCCCCCCATGGCCGTCAGCCCCCCCATGGCCACCAGCCCCTCATGGCCGTCAGCCCTCCTCCAAGGCCACCAGCCCCCCATGGCCATCAACCCCACCATGGCCATCAACCCCCCCATGGCCGTCAGACCCCCATGGCCACCAGCCCCCCATAGCCATCAACCCTCCTCCATGGCCATCAACCTCCCCATGGCCACCAGCCCCCCATGGCCATCAGTCCCCCCCGGCCATCGGCTCTCCATGACCATCACCTCTCACCCCTGGGGGTCCCCGGCCAGTTCAGCGCTGCAGTGGGGGTCCCCACTTGGGGATACCCCGGAATGGGAGTCCCCACTTGGGGATGCTCCGGAATGGGGGTCCCCACTTGGGGATACCCCGGAATGGGGGTCCCCACCAGGAGATGTCCCAGAATGGGGGTCCCCACTGGGAGATGCCCCGGAATGGGGGTCCCCACTGGGAGATGCCCCGGAATGGGGGTCCTTTTTCGGGGATACCCCGGGATGGGGGTCCCCGCCATCGGGGGGTCCCGTCCTGTCCCCCCCGGCCCGGGCCCGCACAAGATGGCGGCGGAGGCCGTTGCCATGGCAACCCGCGGGGCAGGGGCGATGTGCGGACCCGGGGCGGAGTGCGGGGCCGCGGGGCGGAGTGCGGGCCCGGGGGTCGCGGTGCGGGACCCGCTCCTGCCGCGATTACCGGCAGCCGTGCGGGGCAGCTCCGGCGCTGCTTCACTGCCCCCTCGGGCCGGCACCGGGAGCGGTGGCGTCCTGCCAGGCCCGGCCCCGGTCCCGGTCCCGGCCGCACCTCACCGAGCCGGGCGGGCTCCACCGCAGCCCCGGGGCCGCCCCCGCTGCCGGAGCGCGGTTACAAAACCGGGAGTGCGGGAGCGGCGGCTGCGCCCTGCGCGGTGGTGCGGTACCGGCCCCGGTACCCGCGCGGGGTCGGGTCGGTGCCGGTGCCGCAGCGGTGCCGAAGCGGTGCCGCCGCTGTTCGGTGCCGCAGCGGCCCCGGCCCGGCCAACGGGCAGCGCCGGCCGGTGGCGCAACCACGGCGGCCGCGTGACGGCCCCGCGCCCCGGGCGGGCGGCGGGACGGGGGGGCCCGGCCCTGCGGCACCGACACCGGGCGGGGGGCGCATTTCGGGGGGCACCCCGAGCGGGGGCCACGGTGCGGGCACTTTGGGGGCGCGGGGGGTGTCCGCATCACGGATTGCGGGGGGGGCCCGCATCACGGGGTGCGGGGGTGTCCGCAGCACGGCGTGCGGGCGGTGCGGGGGCGCAGGGATGCCCACAGCCCGGCGGGCGGCGGTGCGGGGGTGCGAGCGCTCCCGCATCACGGGTTGCGGGGGTGCCGCCCGCCCCCCCCCCCCCGCACCGGTTCTCTCCGAGTCCCGTAAGCCGCTTTGCTCGGTAAAGCCCCGGCGCGGCCTATTTACGGCAGCAGCGAGCCTAATCCTCGAGCGCTGCCGCGGGGGGAGGAACCGGGAGACCCCCGGTATGCCCGCGGGGGTCCCGCTCGGCCCCGCTCCCCCCCCCCCTAAGCCACCCCACCCCACCCCGCACCGAACCCGTGCGCTGCGGAATGCGGCAGCGGGAAGCGGCGGAGGGAACCGCGCTGGGGGGAGGCTCCGAAGCCCCCCGCAGGTGTTGGTGGCAGCCCCGGGACCCCCGGTTCCCCCCGATCCCCCCGGTGCCCCCCGCTCACCGGCCGGGCCGAGCTGCGCGGGGTCCGCTCGCTGCGCGCCGGACGGGGCGGGGCCTGCGGGGGGGCGGGGCTAAGAAGGGGCGTGGCTTCTCTGGGGGCGTGGCCACGGGCCGCGCAGCAGAGCGCCCCCTGGCGGCGGCAGCGCCCCGGTCCCGCCGTGTCACGCGTGGGGACAGTCACGCGCCGCCGGTGACGCGCAGGGGGCGGCCACGTGTCCCCCACTCTCCCCTGGGGATGGCCCTCGCGCCTGTGCCATTCTCCTGTGCCCCCTCGTCGCGTCTGGGGTCAGTTCCGTGTCACCTGGTCACTCGTGGGGCGGGCCACGGGCCCCGCGGTCACCCACGAGGGACAGGCGCTTGTCCCCCTGTCACCCGCGTGGCTGGGTGTTATTCTCCGGGACGGTCCCGTGTACCCCTGCCCTCCGTGGGGCATTTTCCACACCCCCTCGCCACATCTGGGGTCACTTCCGTGTCCCCTGGTCACTCGTGGGGCCGGTCACCCACGAGGGACAGGCACTTGTCCCCCTGTCACCCGCGTGGCTGGGTGTCATTCTCCGCGGCGGTCCCGTGTACCACTGCCCTCCGTGGGGATTTTCCGTGTCCCCTCGCCACATCTGGGGTCACTTCTGTGTCCCCTGGTCACTCGTGGGGCCAGCCATTCCCGTGTACCGCTGTCACCCGAGGCGCTTTTTCCGCACCCCCTCGCCACATCTGGGGTCACTTCCGTGTCCCCTGGTCACTCGTGGGGCCGGTCACGCACGACGGCCGGTCACTTGTCCCCCTGTCACCCGTGGGGCTGGTGCCGTGTCCCCACCCCGGGCCCGCCCCCCGCCCTTCCCCTTCCCGTTTCGGCCCCGTTTCGGTTTCGGTTCTTGGCCGGGGCGGAGCCTCGCGGCCTCCGGTGGGTGGGGGGGCCCTGCCGGGGGTGGGGGGTCCCCGCGGGGCTGGGGAGGTCCGGGGTGAGTGGGGGTCCCGGTCCGGGGTGTGGGGGTCCTGCTGGTGGCTAAAGGGGGGTCCCGGTCCGGGGTTTGGGGGTCCTGCCCGGGGTACAGGGGGGTCCCGGCCCGGGGACGCGGTGCCGGGGGGTGCGGGGGGCACGGACGGGGGGTTTGGGGACGGGGATGGGGTCACGGGGGGTCACGGCAGGGTGGGGAGCGTAAAGGAACCGGGGGGTCGCAGCCCCAAATGTGTGGGTGCCCCAGGATGGCCGCGGGGGTGCTGGAGGTGCAGGGGGTGCCCCCCGACGCCCCCGAGGAGCTGCTGGTGCTGTACTTCGAGAACCGGCGGCGCTCGGGCGGGGGGCCCGTGCAGAGCTGCCAGCGCCTGGGCCCCCTCCTCTTCCTCACCTTCGAGGACCCCCAGGGTAAGTGTGGGCAGGGGGTGGTGTCCCAGTCCCAGCTGGGAGCACTGGGATGGGGTTTGGGGGTCCCAGTCCCAGCTGGGGGCACTGGCATGGGGTTTGGGGGTCCCAGTCCCACTGGGATGGGATTTGGGGGTCTCAGTCCCACTGGGAGCACCGGGATGGGGTTTGGGGGTCCCAGTCCCAGCTGGGAGCACTGGGATGGGGTTTGGGGGTCCCAGTCCCAGCTGGGAGCACTGGGATGGGGTTTGGGGGTCTCAGTCCCAGCTGGGAGCACTGGGATGGGATTTGGGGGTCCCAGTCCCAGCTGGGAGCACCGGGATGGGGTTTGGGGGTCCCAGTCCCAGCTGGGAGCACTGGGATGGGGTTTGGGGGTCTCAGTCTCACTGGGATGGGGTTTGGGGGTCCCAGTCCCACTGGGATGGGGTTTGGGGGTCTCAGTCCCAGCTGGGAGCACTGGGATGGGGTGTATGAGTGTTCCCAGTCCCAGCTGGGAGCACTGGGATGGGGTCTGGGGGTCTCAGTCCCAGCTGGGATGGGATTTGGGGGTCTCAGTCCCACTGGGAGCACTGGGATGGGGTGTGGGGGTCTCAGTCCTTACTGGGAGCACTGAGGTGGGCTGTGGGGCTCCCAGTCCCACTGGGAGCACTGGGATCGTGTTTGGAGCTCCCAGTCCTTACTGGGAGCACTGGGTGGGCTGTGGGGCTCTCAGTCCCACTGGGATTGTGTTTGGAGCTCCCAGTCCTTACTGGGGGCACTGAGGTGGGCTGTGGGGCTCCCAGTCCCACTGGGATTGTGTTTGGGGCTCCCGGTCCCACTGGGGACACTGAGGTGGGCTGCGGGGCTCCCAGTCCCACTGGGAGCACTGGGATGGGATTTGGGGCTCCCAGTCCCACTGGGAGCACTGGTGAGCACTGGTGCCCCTGGGGTGACGGGGTGCTGCCTGAGCCCCCAGTGACCCCCTTTTCCCTCCACAGATGCACAGAACGTGTTGGCCCACGGCAGCCACAGGCTTGGGGGGATCGAGCTGGGGGTGCGCCCAGCCCCCCCCTGGGACCCCACCCACCTGCTGCTGGGTGGTCTGGACCCCAGGACCCCCCCACAACACCTGGACCTACCCCTGGAGACCCTGCTGGGCGTCCCCCCCGGCACTGTGACCCTGTGCCAGGCCTCTGTGCCCGGCTGGGGCTTGCTGCGCCTGCAGGACCCCCTCACCCCCCCAGGTGGGACTGGGGGGCATACCAGGGTGGGGTGGGGACATTGGGGGTGGTGGGGTGGGGTTGGAGAGGGAAAAGGTGGAGCTGCCAGGGGGTTGGGGGGAGCGGGATGGGGATACAAGGGCTGGGCTGGCAGGGGCTGGCTGCTGAGGGGTGGGGGGACAACGGTGCCAGGGGTGGGAGTACTGGGGGGGCAGGGGGCTGATGGGCTGGGGGGTCTGGGAGCACCAGGCTGGTGTTGTTATTGGGCACAAAATGAGTACACAGAAGTTTGGCGAGTTCAAAAGAGAAAAAGACTAAATTTTATTGGTGACTTGGCAATATATAGAATTCTAAAAGTGACTGTGGATTGGAGGATGAAATTGCTGCCTCTCCAACCACACTGGTCAAACTAATAGTCTATTAATTCTTTCTTGTCACAAAGAATGCAAAACAATCATTATTTATATGAACAGTGCGTGAGAGCTGCAGTAGAAATATGTAAACATCAGAAAGCGTATAAAACTTTTAAAAGAACTTTAAAACTTTCAAAATAACTATAAAAGAACACTTTCAAAAGTCAGGGCAGCAGGGTGGTATTTTGGGGTGTGGGTTCTGCTGGGTGCCCAGCCCCAAGGCAACGCCAGGGGGGTGGTGGCACAGCCGCAGGGTCACCGGTGTGCCGGTGCCAGCGCCGGTGCCGGTGCCAGCGCCGGTGCCAGCGCTGCCCGTGGTGCCGCAGAGCTGGAGTCGGCGGAGCAGCGGGCACGGCAGCAGGGGCTGGCGCTGCTGCGGGTGCCGCAGAGCCCCGCGGTGCTGGTGAGGGCAGCGGGGCCGGCGCTGAACCAGGACCTCCTCGAGCTCTACTTCGAGAACCGGCGCAGCGGCGGCGGCCGCGTCAGGGACGTGCGGCCGCTGCCAGGTGGGCACGGGGCTGTTGTCACCTTCCAGGAGCCGGCAGGTGAGGGGCTGCCAGCGGGAACCGGTGCCAGGGGATTGCGGGAGCCGCTCTGGGCTGCCGGCTGCCCATCCCTTTGTCCCCCACAGCCGCAGAGCGGGTGCTGCGGAGGCCACACCGGCTGCAGGACGTGGTGCTGGAGCTCGTCCCCCACTTCCCCTTCCTGGAGCTGCTGGACACGAGCACAGACGTGGCCCTGGATGCTGTCCCCGCTCCGGACAGGGTCCCTCCTCCTGATGTGGAGCCCCTGCGAGTCAGGGACCCCTTGGTGGACACAGATTGCCCGACGGACACAGAGCTGTCCTCAGACCCCACCGTGGCACACACGAACCCCCCGCCGGACACGGTGCCAGCACCGGCAGCGCCAACATCACACCCGGGGATGGAGCAGCCTTCAGCCGCCTTCCCCGGCAGGGACAAGGACACAGAGGGGTCCACAGCCGTGCCCAGCCAGGCCCAGCCCCCGAGGCCCATGTCGGTGGCGGTCCCGGAGCCGACACCGGCGGTGCCGGTGCAGGACGAGGCGCTGGTGCCAGCGGAGCCGGGAGCCATGCGGTACCTGCAGCAGCACTACCAGGACATGCTCAGCGGCGTCTCCGACGTGTCCCTGCTGCCACTGGAGGGAGGGGACGTCTCTGGGTTCCGGGTGAGCTGCAGGCAGGGGTGTGCGAAGGTGTGGGAAGGTGCAGGCAGGTGTGGGCAGGTACAGGCAGGTGTAGGAAGGTGCAGGGAGGTGTGGGCAGGTACAGGCAGGTGTAGGAAGGTGCAGGGAGGTGTGGGCAGGTACAGGCAGGTGTGGGCAGGTAGAGACATGCAGGGAGATGCGGGAAGGTGCAAGCAGCGGTGCAGGGAAGTACAGGTAGGTGTGGGAAGGTCCAGACAGGTATGGGCAGGAGCAGGTAGCAGTACAGGGAGGTGTGGGAAGGTACAGACAAGTGCAGGTACAGACGTGCAGGAAGATGTGGGAAGGTGCAGGCAGTGGTGCAGGGAAGTACAGGTAGGTGTGGGAAGGTACAGACAAGTGCAGGCAGGTGTGGGCAGGAACAGGCAGGTGTGGGCAGGTACAGGCAACAGGCAGGGGTGTGGGCAGGTACAGGCAGGGGTGTGGGCAGGTACAGGCAACAGGCAGGGGTGTGGGCAGGTACAGGCAGGGGTGTGGGCAGGTACAGGCAGGGGTGTGGGCAGGGGTGTGGGCAGGGGTCTCAGCTGCACTCCCACCTCCCCGTGCTCACAGCACGCCCTGGTGCCAGAGGCTGCCAGCCCCGTGGTGCTGCCCGCACTGCCTGCAGGTGAGTGGGGAGCTGGGCGGGCACCGGTGCCCAGCTGCTGACCCTTTGCCCACCTGCTGCCAGGTGAGCGGCGAGCCGGGCCGGTGCCAGGCCGTGGCGGATTTCCTGCAGAGCCTGCTGGACTCCGTGGCCTCGCACTCCACCACCCTGCGCTTCCCCGGCGTTGCCCGCTTCCTGTGGGACCTGGCTGGGCAGAGCCTCCTCCAGCAGCTGGAGAGCCGCTTCCAGTGCGTCATCCAGCTGGACGGTGAACCCTGGAGCCCTCCAGATCCCCAGGTGCGGCCTCGTGGGGAGGGGTCTGTCATCGTGCTGGTCCCTGCTGTGCCAGCGCGGTGCTGGTGATGCCACCCCTTGATCCCCACAGATGGAGCTGGACGAGCTGCTGCCCGCAGTCAGCCAGCGGGAGCCTCGGTCACAATCCTGGCACCAGGACCTGCCCGAGGGCAGCAATGCTGATGGTGATGGTGATGGTGATGGTGGTGGCGATGGCTTTCCTTCCAGCACAGGTGAGGGGCGAGGGCGCCGCTTGGGACCCGCTCTCCGGGTGCTGCAGTGGGATGAGGGGGCTGTGGGTGCTGGTGCTCCCCCAGGACGTGGTGGGTCTGACACCCCGCTGCTCCTGCAGAGGAGATCAAGAAGGTGCTGGCAGCACTGCGCCCGAGCGACGCCGCTGAGCTGTGGCCTGGCACCGTCCCCGGCAACGAGCGGGACCACAACGCCGCCTTCATCTGCGCAGCCAGTGGGGAGGGTGCCGGAGAGCTGCTGTCGGACACCGAGGCCGAGGAGGAGGAGGTGCAGATGGCTCTGGCCATCCAGTACTCCATGGACCACGCATGCTGCGAGCAGGACGAGCTGGCACGTGCCACCGCACTGTCCCTGCGCTCCTACAGCCGGGAGCAGGAGCGCGCCGAGGAGGACGCCGGGCTCCTGGCCGCGCTGGAGGCCTCGCTGGAGGAGACGCTGCTGGCGGCAGATTCGGCGTGGGTGACGGTGTTCTGCTCCTTGGAGCGGGACGTGGCGGCGGTGACGCGGGAGCTGGAGCGGGCGCTGGCGGGGCTGCTGCAGACGCGGGACGTGGCGAGCGAGCGGCTGCGGGCGCTGCCGGCCGCCGGCCGCTGCGCGCTGGCCCTGCTGCGGTGCCGGCACGCCGTGGAGCTCAGCCTGCGCGGTGACACCGCCACGCTGCGTGGATTCGCCGAGTACATGGTCCCTGCTGCCCAGGACCTCACATCGCTGCTCCACCGCCTGCCACCGCTGCGTCACGGTGCCACCGCTGCCACCGCTGCCACCACTGCCACCGCTGCCACCACTGCCACCGCTGCCACCACGCACTGGGTGCGCTGGGACCCCTCTGGCACCGCTGTCCCGTACGCCCGCGAGACAGCGGCGCTGCTGGAGCAGGCCTGGCTGCGCCAGGAGCGCCGGCTGGATCTGGTGCTGGATGGACGGCCCTTCACCGTGGATTTGGAGCGCATGGAGGAGTTGGACATCGGCAGCGCCCACGCCGTGCCCGTCTGCCGCAGCCAGCCCCCGCTGGACAGCACCTTCTTCCCGCTCGGTGCGCGTGGGTGCCGTGGGGCCAGCGCTGCCCCTCGCCGCGCCCACGCTCACCGGGGCTTTGTCCGGCAGGGCCGGAGCTGGCCGGGCTGGAGGAGGAGGTGCGGCTGATGGCGCTGGCGGAGGACTCGGAGGAGTTTGCTGACACGGTGCGGCATTTCTGCGAGACTCTGGAGGAGCTGCGCGGCCAGATCAGCGTGGTGCAGGTGGGGCTGGGCATGTGGGACCCCCGGGGTGTCCCCGTGGCAGAGCAGTGACAGGGTGGTGGCCGGCAGGTGCAGAAGCTCATCCATCCAGTGCTGTACAAGCAGTACCAGCTGAAGAAGGGCAGCGTGAAGCGCGCCTGTGCCGCCGGCACCGCCGTGGAGCGCGTCCTCTTCCACGGCACCACCAAGGCCTCCAGCTGCGAGATCTGCCTGCACGGCTTCAACCGCAGCTTCTGCGGCAAGAACGGTGAGTGCCGGCAGCCGTGGGGTGACCGCGTTGGTGTGGGAACAGGGGGACAGGGGAGGCGTGGTGCCATCAGCGTGGGAACAGCGTGCCAATGTGGGAATGGTGCCTTCGGCATGGGAACACTGAGGGTGCCGTGGTGCTGACAGCATGGGAACAGGGCACTGGGTGCCATTGGCATGGGAATGGGATGCCACGGTGGGGATAGTGCCATTAGTGTGGGAACGGGCTGGTGAGGTGGGCACGGGGCTCTTGGTGTGAAAAGGGGTGATAAGGTTGGCACAGTGCCATTTGCACAGGAGTAGGGTGATGCTGGGTGCATGGCAGTGGGGTGCCAAGGTGGGCACGGGGCCCTCAGTGTGGGATGGGGTGATAAGGTGGGCACAGTGCCATTTGCACAGGAGTAGGGTGATGATGGGTACATGGCAGTGGGGTGCCAAGGTGGGCATCGTGCCCTCAGTGTGGGAATGGGGTGGTGAGGTGGGTATGTTGCTCTCTGTGTGGAATGGGGTGGTGAGGTGGGCATGGTGCTCTCTGTGTGGAATGGGGTGGTGAGGTGGGCACAGTGCCCTCAGTGTGGGAATGGGGTGGTGAGGTGGGTATGTTGCTCTCTGTGTGGGAATGGGGTGGTGAGGTGGGCACGGTGCCCTCAGTGTGGGAATGGGGTGGTGAGCTGGGCACGGTGCCCTCAGTGTGGGAATGGGGTGGTGAGGTGGGCACGGTGCCCTCAGTGTGGGAATGGGGTGGTGAGGTGGGCACGGTGCTCTCTGTGTGGGAATGGGGTGGTGAGGTGGGCACGGTGCTCTCTGTGTGGGAATGGGGTGGTGAGGTGGGCACGTTGCTCTCTGTGTGGGAATGGGGTGGTGAGGTGGGCACGGTGCTCTCAGTGTGGGAATGGGGTGGTAAAGTGGGCACGCTGGCATTTGCAAAGGAATAAGGTGATCATGAGGGCATGGAAAGGGGATTCCAAGGTGGGCACAGTGCCATTTGCGTAGGAGTAGGGTGATGCTGGGTGCATGGCAGTGGGGTGCCAAGGTGGGCATGGTGCCCTCAGTGTGGAATAGGGTGGTGAGGTGGGCACGGTGCTCTCTGTGTGGAATGGGGTGGTGAGGTGGGCACGGTGCTCTCAGTGTGGGATGGGGTGGTGAGGTGGGCACAGTGCCCTCAGTGTGGAATGGGGTGGTGAGGTGGGCACGTTGCTTTGTGTGTGGGAATGGGGTGGTGAATTCCACCAGGAGCAGGAATTGGGTTAGGGGCAGGAACTGGGTGACCATGGGTACATGGGAACGGAGTTCCAGGGTGGGTGTGGTGCCCTTGGTGCACACCAGGGTGCCAATATGGGCCCGGGGTGCCGATGTGGGCCCAGTGGTGCTGGCACACCACGCCCCGTGCCGCAGCTGATGCCCGCCCCGCAGCCACGCTCTACGGCCGCGGCGTGTACTTCGCGGCGCGCGCGGCCATCTCGGCGCGGGACCGCTACTCGCCCCCCAGCGCCGACGGCACCAAGTTCATCTTCATGGCCAAGGTGCTGACCGGGGAGTTCGCGGCCGGGCGGCCGGGGCTGCGGGCACCCCCTCTCCGAGAGGGCTGCGGGGTCCCCCAGCGCTACCACAGCGTGGTGGATGACCCCCGGCAGCCCGACATCTTCGTCATCTTCAACGACACCCAGGCCTACCCCCAGTACCTCATCTCCTGCCGCAGCCGCCACGGGGGCCCCCTCTGAGCCCCCCAGCTCTGCTTCAAGGACCCCTTTTTATCCCCCCGGCGTCCCCTGGCACTGGTGCCAGTGTGGGGGTTACGGTGCCCAGAGGCTCAGGGTATGCAGGGAGGTTCCTGCCCTGCCCAGCAGCTCAGAGAGGGGGGATCCTCACCTGGGGATGCTCCTGGGCACCCTCGTGCCAGGGCAGGAGGTGGGCAGGAGGACTTGGGGTCACCCGTGTGATGCCAGTGGAATTTGGAATAAAACTTCAAATAAAATTTGGAATAAATTGGAGCCTTTTGCATGGCTGGGATTGAGGGGGGACTGGGAGAGGGAGGGGAAGTTCCAGTCCCAACTGGGAGCACTGGAATAGGGGGAAAGTCTCAGTCCCAGCTGGGATCACTGGGATTGGGGTGGATGGGGTCCCAGACCCAACTGGGAGCACTGGGAGCACTGGGAGCTGGGGTCAGGCAGGAGCCTGGCTGTGTGTGGGTGCTGTGTTCCCCTGTGGGGTGGCTGTGCTGGGCGGTGGCTCTGGGCCACGCAAGGGCTGGACCAGGCCACTCCTGCGCCTCTGCCTGTTCCCTGCACCCTTCCTGCTCCCCACCTGCTCCCTTCCTCCTCCCTACCTGCATCCTTCTCCCTTCCTGCTCCTCACCTGCATCCTTCTCCCTTCCTGCTCCCCACCTGCTCCCTTCCTGCTCCTCACCTGCTCCCTTCCTCCTCCCTACCTGCATCCTGCATCCTTCCTGCTCCTCACCTGCTCCCTTCCTGCTCCTCACCTGCTCCCTGCTTCCTTCCTACCTGCATTCTGCACCCTTCCTGCTCCTCACCTGCTCCCTTCCTCCTCCCTACCTACATCCTTCTCCCTTCCTGCTCCTCACCTGCTCCCTTCTTCCTCCCTACCTCCATCCTGCCCCATTCCTGCTCCTCCCCTGCTCCCTGCCTCCTCCCTACCTGCATCCTGCATCCTTCCTGCTTCTCACCTGCTCCTCACCTGCTCCCTGCTTCCTTCCTACCTGCATCCTGCCCCATTCCTGCTCCTCACCTGCTCCCTTCCTGCTCCTCACCTGCTCCCTTCCTCCTCCCTACCTGCATCCTGCATCCTTCCTGCTCCTCACCTGCTCCCTGCTTCTTCCCTACCTGCATTCTGCTCCCTTCCTGCTCCTCACCTGCTCCCTTCTTCCTCCCTACCTGCATCCTGCTCCCTTCCTGCTCCTCACCTGCTCCCTTCCTCCTCCCCACCTGCTCCCTGCTTCCTCCCTACCTGCATCCTTCCTGCTCCCTGCTTCCCTCCTCCTCCCCACCTGCTCCCACCTCTTCCCTGCCCCTTCCCTGCTCCCTGCCTGTCCCGGGGTGCCCCGAGCTGTGCTGAGGGGACCCGGGTGCCCACCCTGAGGGTGCGGGCAGAGCCCCAGGGGCGGGCAGTGCTGCCCAGCGGCTGAGACTCTCCAGCAAGCAGCGGCGGGGGGAGGCAGGGGTGCCCCGCGTCCCCTCCGTGCCCCTGTCGCCCACTCTCGGTCACGGGTGGGCAAGCGCGGGGCTGGGGGTCTCCCCTTTGGGGAACCCACGGATGGGCACGGGGGTGGCACCGGCGGCCCCGCGGGCGCGGGCGGTGCCAGGGCAGGGTGCGGTGCCCCGCGCCGGCGTGTGCCAGCCCCGCGGACGTGTGCCAGCCCCGGGATCCCGTCGGGAGCCGTGCCAGCCGCGCCAGCCCCGCGCACGTGGCGCCAGCCCCGCTCCCCGGGGAGCCCCGGAGATGGAGGTGAGACCCCCGAGGGTCGGGGGTGCGGGAGGGGTCCTGGCCGCACGCCCACCCCCTCCGCAGAGTCCGGTGCCCCGCGCCCCGCGGGTGCCCCGGGCGGGGACTGCCCGGCGCTGCCGGTGCCAAGCGTGCCGGACCTTTGTCCCCTGACGCCGAGGGGCCCGCGGGGCCCAGCGCCGCTGAAAAGGGCCCTTTGTCCGCCTCTGGCCGGGGGATCCGCTCCCCGCGCCCGTGCCGGCACCGGCACATGACCGCGGCCCCGGAGCCGGACGGACGGAACGAGCGGCGGCCCCGGTACGGCCGCGGCGAGAGCGGGTGGGGGTCCGAGCCTTGCCCCCCTCACGGCAGGTACCACGGTGGGGACAGAGCGCCCGGGAGAGGGTCCCGACCTCGGCGCTGCCGGTGCCACCTTGCGCTGCCCCGGTGTCGGGTCCCGGGGGCCCCTCGTGTCTCTCCGGGCCGGGGTCCCCGGTGGTCTCCGCGCCCCGCGGGGTGGGTGCGGCTGTGCTGGGGTTGCCGGGGTCAGTTTGGCACGCGATGGCCCCGAGGAGGCGTACGGTGGGGCTGGGGGTCGGGGGGGCTCTGCCTTGTGATGCCATGCCAGCAACTGGATGTGGGGGGCACCGGGGGTCTTGGAAGCCCCCGAGACCCCGCAGTGCGCTCGTGTGTGTGTGTGTGTGTGTGTGTGTGTGTGTGTGTGTGTGTGTGTGCACAGGGGTGTTCCTGTGCCGGGCACACTGCGGTGCTGGCGCCGGGGCATGCCTGCAGCCAGCCGGGCCCGGGCACACGCGTGTCCACCCGTGTCCACACCCAGGTGTGCTCACGCACGGGGGAGCTGCACACACGCCTGCTCTCCGCTGCAGATCCCTTTCCTGGTACCGCCTCTAGCTCCTGGTACCGGCTCTGGGTCCCACCGGTTCCAGTTCCTGGTGCCAGCTCAAGTTCCTGGTGCCACCTCCAGTTGCTGGTACCAGCTCCAGTTCCTGGTACCAGCTCCAGTTCCCGGTACCAGCTCCTGTTCCTGGTACCAGCTCCAGTTCCCGGTACCAGCTCCTGTTGTTGGTACCAGCTCCAGTTCCTGGTACCAGGTCCAGTTTCTGGTACCAGCTCCAGCTCCTGGTACCAGTTCCTGTTGCTGGTACCAGCTCCAGTTTCTGGCTCCAGTTCCTGGTACCAGCTCCTGCTCCTGGTACCAGTTCCTGCTCCTGGTACCAGCTTCTGTTCCTGGTACCAGCTGCAGCTCTCGGCACCAGCTCCGGTGCTGCTGGCCGAGCCGGTGTGCCGGTGCTGTGCCGGTGCTGTGCCGGTGCTGTGCCGGTGCTGTGCCGGTGCTGTGCCGGTGCTGTGCCGGTTCTGTGCCGGTGCTGTGCCGGTGCTGTGCCGGTTCTGTGCCGGTTCTGTGCCAGCTCTGTGCCGGTGCTGTGCCGGTTCTGTGCCGGTGCTGTGCCGGTGCTGTGCCGGTTCTGTGCCGGTTCTGTGCCGGTGCCAGGCCCACAACCGAGCGCCCACCGGGGCGGGCAGTGCCCAGCGGCTGCGGGACTTCCCTGCGGGAGCGCCGGGCGGGGTTCCCCTCTCGGTGGCTGCCGCGGTGGGGTTAACCCTCTCCGCATCTGGTGTGCCGGTCACAGCTGCCCTCTCTGGACTGGGTGTACTGGGCGTACTGGGCAGTTAAACCTTGTCTGTTCGGTGCACTGGGAGCACTGGTCGGGGTTAACCCTCTCCATACTGGATGCGCTGGAAAGAGTTAATCCTCTCCGGATTGGTGTACAGAGGAGGGTTAACATTCTCCGTACGGAGCGTACTGGGTGCCCTGGTCACAGTTAACCCGTGCTGTACTGGGAGCACTGGTCGGGGTTGGCCCCTGGTGCCGGCCGTACTGGGAGCACTGGTCGGGGTTGGCCGTGGTGCTGGCTGTACTGGGAGCACTGGTCGGGGTTGGCCGTGGTGCCGGCCGTACTGGGAGCACTGGTCGGGGTTGGCCGTGGTGCCGGCCGTACTGGGAGCACTGGTCGGGGTTGGCCGTGGTGCCGGCCGTACTGGGAGCACTGGTCGGGGTTAATCCTTCCGCGCCGGGTGCCCGGGGGTGCCTCCCCCGCGGGGTGCGCCCGTGTGGAGGGTGGGGCGCTGAGATGAGGCGCCCCCCGCCGCCCGCCCCCCGCCCCGCCCCTGCCGCGAAGCCGGAGCCGGTGCCGGTGCCGGTGCGGGCGGAGCCCCCGGGGCCATTTTCCCCCGGAGCCCCCGCGGTACCGGTGCCGGTGCTCCCCGCCGGTGCCGCATCCCCTCCGGAGCCCTCCCGGTGCCGGTGCCGTTTTCCCCCCCGGTCATGCTCCCCCGTGGCGTCTCGGCGGACATCGTGGGGCTCGGTGAGTCCCCGCGCGTGGGACCCCCTCGCCCACTCCCCCGTGGAGCCGGGAGCGGCGTGGGGGGCGCTCGGGGGATGCTGCGGGGCTGCCGCAGGACTGGGGGGGGGGGGCTGCGGCGTGGAGGGGTGGTGCGGGAGGGCTCCGCTGGGGCTGCGAGGGGTGTTTGGGTGCTGAGACCCGAGTCTGGGCGCAGAGGGGTCCCTGTGGCCCCCCCATAGGTGGTGGGGGGAGGCGGCCTCAGGCCTGGGGTGAGGGGCTGCTGCGGGGACGTGGGCGATGGAGCCGCTGACTCAGGCCCGCCCCCCGCCTGCTCCCCCTCACTAACGCCCCCACGCCCGCCCCCCATCTCTGCCCCACGCCCAGCCCCCTGCGGGGGTGCCGGGGGTCCCGGTGGGTCCGGGGCTGCCGGTGATGTCGCTCACGCCGGGGTCCCAGGGTGCCGGGAGGGCCGGGCGCTGTGATGTCGGAGATGCCGGTGGCTCCCGGTGCCGGGCCCGGTGGTGCCGGGCCCGGTGACTTTCCCGGTTCGGAGCTTCTGCAAATGGCGCCTGGGCCGCGGCAAACGCCCGGTGCTGGCGGCTCCCCGGGGAACGAGCCCGAGCCGGTGTCGGGGCGGCGGAGGTGGGATGGCGGAGGTGCCGGGGTGGCGGAGGTGTCGGGATGCTGGGGCAGGATCACGGAGGTGCCGGGATAGCGGGGGCAGCGGGATGGCGGAGGTGCCGGGATGGCGGGGGCGGGATCACGGAGGTGCCGGGATGATGGAGGCGGGATGGCGGAGGTGCCGGGATGGAGGGGCAGGATCACGGAGGTGCTGGGATCAGAGTCATCCCCGCCGCTACCGGCACTCGCCGTCCCGCTCCCCTGGGAGCACTCCCGGCACCGAGGTTCTGAACGGGCACCGACCCCGGCCGAACCCGGCAGCCGCTCCGGGGCACGGAGCCGGCCTGGCCGCTGCCCCGCTGCCGGTCCGGTCTTGTCTCCCACGGCTTCGGGTTCTGCCCGGGCGCGCCCCGGCTGCGGCGGTCCCACGGGCAATTCCCGGTGCCGGACCAGCCGTCCCCGCGGCTCCCTGCCCATCCCTTCGCCGCGGTGGCCCCGTGGGGACCGTGACCTTAGCAACACCGCCCTGCACGGCACGGTTCGGCACGGACCCGCTTCCCCGGGGCTGTCCCGAGGGGCTCCGGCAGCGCCGCGATCACGACCGTGATTCCGCCCTGTGCTGCACCGGGCGCTGCCGGTGCTGCGGTCCCGGTGCCCGGTGTCCCTGGCACCGCCTCTCTACCGCAGGAGCGGGGGTCGGCGGTACCGGGGGTCCCTGAAGCGAGAGGGTGACAGTGGCGATGCTGGGGGTCCCTCGTGCCTCGGTACCGGGGGTTCCTGAAGCGAGAGGGGGGCAGTGGGAATACCGGGGGTCCCTGGTGCCCCGGTACCGGGGGTCCCTGAAGCGAGAGGGGGGCAGTGGGGATACCGGGGGCCCCTGGTGCCCCGGTACCGGGGGTCCCTGAAGCGAGAAGGAAGGAGATGGCACTGCCGGTGGTCCCTGGTGCCGCGGTACCGGGGGTCCCTGAAGCGAGAGGGGGGAGCAGTGGCGGTGCCGGGGGTCCCTGGTGCCGCGGTACCGGGGGTCCCTGCAGCGAGAGGGGGGCAGTGGGGATACCGGGGGTCCCTCGTGCCGCGGTGCCGGGGGTCCCCAGCGTACGAAGGCGATGGTCCCGGTCCCGGGGGTCTCTGACGCCGACCCTCTGTGGCAGGAGCCGGGGTCGGCGGCGATGGCGGAGGAGAGCTCGAGTGGCAGCAGCGGCTCGCCTGGCGCCGGGGACACGCTGCCCTGGAACCTGGGCAAACACCAGCGCTCGCAGCGTGCCAAGGCGGCCGCGGGCAACGGGACGGTGCTGGACCCCGCCGAGAGAGCCGTCATCCGCATCGCAGGTACGGCCCGGGGGGCTCGGGGTGTGACAGTGGGGGGCTCGGGGTGTGACGGGGGGCTCGGGGTGTGACGGGGGAGCGGGACCGTGAGTGGGGGGCTCGGGGTGTGACGGGGGAGTGGGACCGTGAGTGGGGGGCTCGGGGTGTGACGGGGGAGCGGGACCGTGAGTGGGGGGCTCGGCCTGAGCCGCTGTTGCGGGTGGGGGGCCGGTGCCGTGCCGTCCCCATCCGGCTGCCGGTGTGTCCCCATCGATGCTCAGCGTTTCCCTCCCGTAGAGCGCTCAGCCCCCCCGCGGCACGGAGCCCTCCCGGTTATTTCCGTTACCCCTCCCCGTCCTTCCCCGCCTCCCTCCCTCCCTCTCCTCCCCGCCCCCCTCATCCCCCCCCCGCCGTCGCTGTCCCCGCTCGAGTTTCGGGGCATTAATGTCTATTTTTAGGGATGACGATGCCCCGTCCCATGGGGCCGGTGTGTCCCCCCCCGCCCCAGCTCGCCCACGGCTGGAATTGCGCTCCGAGGGGGGAGGGGGGTTGTTGGGGGCCGCTTGGGGTCCCCTCGGTGCCCCTCGGGTGGCACTGGGAGACGGAGCTTTAAAAATCCCTCTGTCCCATGGGGCTGCTGGGGGAGTCCCGGGGGGCGTGAAGCCCCTGTCCCCACCAGCCGGAGGGGACGCGGGGGTCTCTGTGAGGGGCTGAGCATTCACGAGGGGAGGGGTCGCCCGGTCTGCCCCTCGAGCGAGGGTGGGGAGGTCGGGGTGCGAATCGGGGGGGGGTCCCTGCGCCGGCTGTGGGGTGCACCAGGCACCCCCACCCCATCTCTGACCACCTGCGCCCCCAGCCCCGCACGGTCCCCTATCACCTGCGACCCCTGTCCCTTATCACCCACCCCTCGCCCCCCTCGCGCTCCTCTGGACACGCGTGGGTGCCCCACGGACGGGACCAGCAGTATCGGGGTTCGGGCAGTGCCAGTTTGGGGGGCGTAGAGGACTTGACTTGCCCCGCGCCCCACAGGGTGCCCTGCCCCACGGTGCCGTGTCCGTGGGTGCCGTGTCCGTGGGTGGCGTTTCGCGGGTGGCGGCGCGCCTCGGGGCGGTGTCCGGCGGTTCCTTTAAAGGGCTGGGCGGGGGCATGTCCCGTCCCCTGTCCCGTCCCCTGTCCCGTCCCCTGTCCCGTCCCCTGTCCCGCGCCCCTGCCCAGCCGTGGGGTGCGGGGCCGCCGGACACGCCGGACACGCCGGACACGCCGGACCCCGGCCCCGACCCCCACCCCCGCCCCCCAAAAACTCCCTCGGCCGCCATGGCCGCCGCCTGCCCCCCTCCCGTGCCCGAAGAACAGGATTTCATCCAGGCCTACGAGGACGTGCGGGAGCGCTACAAGGGTACGGGACCCCCGCCCCACCGCGGGCCGGCCGGGGGGCGCCGTGGGGCGCGGGCCGGGGGGGCCGCGGGGGAGGGAGCGCGGCCGCTCATTCCCATAATTGGACACGAAGGGCACCGCCGGCCCCGGCACGGCCGTGGGGCGGGGGGGGCCCGGGGGACACGGCCCGGCACCGCCGACCCCGCGGGGAGACCCCCGGGCCGCTGCTCCCGCCGGGGCGCGGTGCCCGCGGGCGGGTGGGGAGCTGTGCCCGCGCCCCCCGGGGTGACCGGAGGGGTGGGTGGCGGTGTGGTGGGGCAGGGGGGTCCCTCCGAATGTTCTGGGGACGGACGTGCTGCCGGGTGGCCGGGGGGGACACGGGCGGTGGGCGGCGGAGCGCCGGTGCTCGGCTGTGGCATTGGTGGCATCGGTGGCATTGGTGGCACTGGTGGCATCGGTGGCGTCTCGGGGTACGAACCCCGCGCCGGGAGGTGGGTCTGACCCCGGGGCTGTCCGCAGTGCCCCCGGTGCCCCGCGTGGCCGAGGCCGCCCCGGTGTCGGTGTCGCGGCGTGGGGCCGGCAGCGGCCGCGGCCATGCCCTTACATGGGAGCGGGCGCTGCAAGCGGGGGGAGCCCCCCCGGCCCCACGCCGGGGGTCCCAGCTGTCCCCGTGCGGGGTCCTGGCCGCTCCCACCCGCGTGGGACCCCGCTGTGGGGCTGGGGGAGCCACCTGCGGTCCCTGCTCGGTGCCACCGGCAGCTGTGCCACCGTGCCCTGTCCCCCGGCTGAGGGACCCAGACCTCACCACGGCCCCGGTGCCACCGGCAGGGATGGCACAGGGTCCGGCAGCTGCTGTCCCTCAGCGGTGCCAGGGCACCAGGGATGGGTCGGTGAGACTTGGCAGGCAGTGCTGGGCAAGTGGCAGGGGGTCATTGTCACCGTGCCACCTCTCCGGGTGCTGGCAGGGGTTCATTGTCACCGTGCTGTGCCACCTCTCCAGGTGCTGGCAGGTGTTCACTGTCACCGTGATGTGCCACCTCCCTGGGTGCTGCAGGGGTTCATTGTCACTGTGCTGTGTCACCTCTCCAGGTGCTGGCAGGGGTTCATTGTCACCGTGCTGTGCCACCTCTCCAGGTGCTGGTGGGTTTGGCTTTGTGGGTCCTGATGGGTCAGTTTGGTGTCATTCTGCTCCCCCCTCAAGCTGTGCCACCAAGCTCAGTGTCACACTGTGGTCCCCCTCAAGCTGTGCCACCAGGCTCAGTGTCCCACTCTAGTCCCCCTCACCATGTGCCACCAGGCTCAGTGTCACACCGTGTGCCACCAGGCTCAGTGTCACACTGTGGTCCCCCTCAAGCTGTGCCACCAGGCTCAGTGTCACACCGTGGTCCCCCTGAAGCTGTGCCACCAGGCTCAGTGTCCCACACCATGTGCCACCAGGTTCAGTGTCACACTGTGGTCCCCCTCACCATGTGCCACCAGGCTCAGTGTCACACCGTGTCCCACCAGGCTCAGTGTCACACACCGTGTGCCACCAGGCTCAGTGTCACACTCTGGTCCCCCTCACCGTGTGCCACCAGGCTCAGTGTCACACTCTGGTCCCCCTCACCCTGTGCCACCAGGCTCAGTGTCACACTCTGGTCCCCCTCACCGTGTGCCACCAGGCTCAGTGTCACACTCTGGTCCCCCTCAAGCTGTGCCACCAGGCTCAGTGTCACACTCTGGTGCCTCTCACCGTGTGCCACCAGGCTCAGTGTCACACCGTGGTCCCCCTCAAGCTGTGCCACCAGGCTCAGTGTCACACCGTGTGCCACCAGGCTCAGTGTCACACTCTGGTCCCCCTCACCATGTGCCACCAGGCTCAGTGTCACACCGTGTCCCACCAGGTTCAGTGTCACACCGTGTGCCACCAGGCTCAGTGTCACACCGTGTGCCACCAGGCTCAGTGTCACACCGTGTGCCACCAGGCTCAGTGCTGTAGGTCCCGGGGCAGGTGTTTGGTGTCACCGTGTCACCCCACACTGTCAGGTGCTGGCGAGTTTGGCATCCCCAGTGATCCCACCTGGCTGGGTGCTGTTGGGCACGGGCTGGGCTCCGTGTCACTGCTCGGCGATGCCAGGGTCTGGTGTCACCCTGCACCTCACCGAGAGTGGGGTTCCTGTCACCCCTGGGGTTCAGTGCCACGGCCCCTGGGTGGGCACAGGTGCCCGGTGGCCGAGTGGCCGGAGGAGGACAGTTTGTCTGCAGGGGTGGTGATGTCAGGGCTGAGGCAGCACGGCCGGGAAGCCTCAGGAGGGGTGACACAGCGGCGGTGGGCACGGAGCCCATCGCAGCGGGTGATCGCTGCCAGCGCGGTGGCACGTGCCAGCCCTGGGGCACAGAGCCCGGGGCACCCAGCAGCCGCTCTGCCAGGGACTCTGCCACGCGTGGGGCAGGGCTGCAGCGCCTGGAGGTGGCCCTGGGCACCTCGTGCCCTCTCTGTTAGAGCCGTTAGTGCGGCACAGGGCCTGTGGGCACCGAAGCCAGGCTGCAGGACACCACCTCCAGTGCCACCATCACCGCTGTCCTTGTCACTGTGGCAGCTGAGCCCAGGCTTGGCATCCATCGTCACCTGTGGGGCCCCCGAGACACCCCGGCCCTTCGCCAGGGTTGTGGGGTGCAGACCGTGCCAGGGTCCCTGCCAGTGTCCCGGGACATGGCTGGGGGTGACACTGGCCACAGTGCAGTGACCATGTCACAGTCCTTGCCAGTGTCCCTGGGAGTGGACAGTGGCCCAGTGGCTGCACTGTGGTGACTGTGCCACAGACCTTCCTGGTGCCCCTGGGGCTTGGGGACTGGTGTCACCTCCTGGTGTCACCTCCTGGTGTCACCTCCTGGTGCCCCTGGGGCCTGGGGGCTGGCTGGTGTCACCTCCTGGTGTCCCTGGGACCTGGAGGCTGGTGTCACCTCCTGGTGTCACCTCCTGGTGTCCCTGGGACCTGGAGGCTGGCCAGTGTCCTGAGCGTGGTGGCCACGGTGTGGCGGCTGTTCCGCAGTCTCTCCTCCGAGACTGGATGGTGGCTACAGTGGTTAAGGCGTGGTGGCACTGTCAGGGTCCTTCTCAGTGTCCCCAGGGCTCTGGGGGTGGCAGCGTGGTGGCCATGCCACAGTCCCTCTTGGTGTCCCCGGGTGGTGCCGGTGCCAGCGGGGGCAGCTGGGGGGGTCCCCTGCCCCACTGAGGGACAGGGTGAGCTTGGGGGGCTGTGCTGGAATGGGGGGGCTCGGTAAGGGGGGCACTGTGTGTGCTGGGGGGGTCTGGGGGGTGGGAGCACACTGCTGGGGGGGCTGTGCTGGAATGGGGGGCCAGGGGGACTGTGTTGGGGGGCTGTGCTGTTGTTGATAGGAGGATCTCTGCCGTGCCGGTGGCACTCGGTGCCGTGCCGGGGGTGCGGGCCGGTCCCAGCCGCTGGGGGGGGCGGTGTCGGTGCCGCAGGGGCGGGGGGCTGCGGCGGCGGGGCGGGGCTGCCGCCGGGGGGGCGGGACGGACCCGCCCCGGGGCTGCGGGACCGGCCGGCAGCGTGCGGGAGCGCGGGCGGCCATGGAGGGGGCGCGGGGCATCCACCACGAGATCGCCTCCCTCAAAGGTACCGGGGGAGGGGGCGCCGCGAGGGGTCCCGGGGCCAAGCCCACGGGGACCGGAGAGAATTCCGCGTCCCGGGGAAGGTTCCGCGTCCCGCGGGGGGAGGGCCGCGTCCCGGGCAGCTCCAGCCACGCCGCATCCCTCCCGTGCCAATGTCGCAGCGCGGGCAGGAGGGCGGGGGTCACCGGGACGCCCCGGCAGCACCGGCATCCCTCCGAGTTCCTCGGTGCCGCCAGGCCCCCGGCGGGCTCCGCCGTGGCGGTGTTACCGAGCCGTGTTACCGAGCCGTGTTACCGAGCCGTGTTACCGAGCCGTGTTACCGAGCCGCGCTGCAGACCGGCGCGCTGGGGCGTGAGTAACGGGCACCGGCGGATGCCGGTCACGGGCGGCCACCGGCCCCCGGGGCACCGCAGCGGGCGGAGAGCCACCGCGGGGCACGCAGCTGGAACGGAGCCCGGCGAGGGTCGGCACGGGCCCGGCGGGAGGTGGGATGGACACCGGGAAAGTCGCGATGGAGCCCGGGAGCCTCAGGGTGAAGCCAGCGAGGGTCGGGGAGGGATGGACGCCGGCGAAGGTCGTGATGGACCCCGGCAGGATGGGGATGGGGTGGACCTGGGGCGGCTGGGGATGATCCCGGCAAGGTTCGGATGAACCCGCCAGGCTCAGGCGATGTCGCAGGCCCCAGCGAGGGATGCCAGGTCGTGTCCCCTCCAGCAGAGCTGCGCCGAGGCTGATTTACGGTGAGAAATGTCCCGGCGCCGGGACCCCCGCCGGCATCGGCCTCATTAGGAGCCGGCCCCGGCCGCGGTGCCCTCCGCAAACAGCCGCGGCTTTGTTCCGCTGGGCGCGGGGAGCCCGGCGGCCCCGCCAGACCCCAGCCCTGGCACCGGCACCGGCGCTGGCACCGGCACCAGGACGGCAGCGCCGGGCCCGTGGCCAGACGCCGCTGCCACAAGCGCTGCCCGCCCCACATTTGGGGGGCTGCTCGAGGGTTCCGTGGCTCGTAGGGGTGAGGGGCTCATGGGGTGCGCAGGACCGGGACTGTGGGGGTGCCCCAGCCCCTCCTGCTCCCGGCCCGCCCCGGGATGCGACGCGGCGAGCAGAGCTGCGGGGCCGATGCGGGAGGGCTGTTCCCGGTGGGTGCGGGGCGGTGCGGGCGCCCTGCCCAGCGCGGGGCAGCGGCGGGACGCTGGCGGTGGCCCCGCTGTCACATCGCGTTGGATCACGGCGGGCGGCGGGCGCTGACGCGGCACTTCCCGGAGGAGCCGCCGGCGCGGCCGTGACCCCGCTGCGGGCTTGGGGTGCGGGGCCGAGCTGGGGGGGCGCGCTGCTGCTGCCCCCATCACTTCTCTATAGGTGCCCCCATTGCTTCCTCCATGGCAGACACCATCGCTCCCCTATTGCTGCTCCCATCATTTCTCATCCCTGACCCCCTTTGTCCCCATCATTGCCCCCATCCCTGCCCCCCATCACTCCCCCTCCCTCTACCCCCATCCCTGCCCCCCATCCCTGCCCCCATCCCTGCCCCCCATCACTCCCCCTCCCTCTACCCCCATCCCTGCCCCCCTTTGTCCCCATCTCTACCCCCATCCCTGCCCTCCATGATTCCCCCTCCCTCTACCCCCATCCCTGCCCCCCATCCCTGCCCCCCATCACTCCCCCTCCCTCTACCCCCATTCCTGCCCCCCCTCCCTGCCCCCCATCACTCCCCCTCCCTCTACCCCCATCTCTGCCCCCCATCCCTGCCCCCCATCACTCCCCCTCCCTCTACCCCCATCCCTGCCCCCCTCGCTCCTCCATCTCTCCCACCCCGCTGGGATTCGGGGGTGCTGTGGGGCTCTGTGGGTGCAAGATGCCGAGGTGGGGCTCAGACAGGCAGCTGCTGCTCTCCCAGGGGATTCCCTTTGAGGGGGTCTGGGCATCCCAGTGCTCCCAGTGCCCCTGCACCAGCTGTGCTGGTGGCCCAGTGATGGGGGGATCTCACAAGGGGAGCTCCGCTCTGCCACCCCGCTCTGCCACCCCTCTCTGCCACCCCGCTCTGCCACCCCGCTCTGCCACCCCACTCTGCCCTCAGGATGGGGAAGTTGTGCAAGTCGCCAGTTCATGCACATCAGGCTTTGGGATCCCCGGGGCCTGGCAGCTCCGGGCGGGCACCCCACAGGCGGCAGCCCCCCATGCCTGGCTCTCTGCTCCCCACCAGTAAATCCCAGTGAATCCCATCGGCCCGGACTGGGCTGTCGGGGCAGGGGGTGTCCCCCCATTCCCCCAGGGCTGCCGTGGGGCACCTGCTGCAGCCTTGCGGGAGTCTCGCTGCGCTTGGCCGGGGGTGCTGAGGGAGCCTTGGGGGGTTCCTCCCCTTTTGGGGTCTGCGGGCCTGGGATCCCCCCAGCGTGGGGGACACCCTGGCACCCCAGTTCGCCCCGCACGGTTCCTCCTGCTCTGGGAAGGGTGTGCCACTCTCACATCCCCTCACACACAGGGAGGGTCGGCGGTGCCGGGGCTCTCCCCAGCCCCACGGCGGAGCTGGGGGGTCCCGCTGCTGTGCCACGGGGGGGGTCCCCGCGGTGCCGCTGGGGGTTGTAGGGCGGTTCTCGGTGCCGGGGGCTGCGGGGAGCGGCAGCTGCCGCGTCCCCAGCTGCCACCCGGAGGGCGCGGAGTGGCGCAGCTGTGGCACCGCCGGGGCTGTGTCACTGCCGGGGGGTGTGGGAGCCGTGGGGTCCCCCTGGGGATGCCGGGACAAACCGGGGCAGGAGCAGAGCAAACATTGACGTGGCAGGATGTGGCTGCCGAGCCCTGCCGGGGTGCCCCTGCCCGCGCCCATGCCCGTACACCTGCCGGTGCCCCTGTGCGACCCCCGCCTGGCTCTGCCTGCAGCCCGGCAGCGCGGGATGCTCGGGCGGGCCCGGAGATGCCCCGCTCGGCTCAGGGACAACCCTCGGCTCAGGGTCCCCTCCGGGGCACTCCACGGGGCCGGTCCCGGGGCGGGGCGGGGCAGGACCCGCGGGGGTTCCCACGCAGGAACCGGCCGGGTGGGTCGGGGCAGGGGGGGGGAAGCGGGAGGCGGGTCCGGCCGTGTCCCCCCCGGGCGGGAGCCGGGGCCGGGGAGGGGCCGGTGGTGACTCAGGGCTGGGCCTGGGGCCCCCTGACCCCCCCGACCGGGGGTGGAGCCGCAGCCGCTCCCGCCGTGCCGGCAGCCAGCGCCGCTCCGTGTCGGATCGCGCCGGGACGTGCCGGGCCATACGGGGCTGTACCGGACTGCGCTGGGCTGTGCCAGGCCGTACCGAGCCGAACCGGACCGTACTGGGCTGGGCTGGACCGCACTGAGCCGTGTCGGACCGTGCTGGGCTGTACTGGACCATAGCGAGCCGGGCTGTGCTGGGCCATACTGGGCTGTGCTGGGCCGTACTGGGCTGTGCTGGAGCGGCCCGGGCTGTGCCGTACGGAGCGGTGCCGGACTGTTGAGCTGTGCCGGGTGAGACGTGCCCGAGCCCCGCGCCCCGTGCCCCGCGCAGCTCTGCCCGCGCCATGGTGGCGGGGATGCTGATGCCGCTGGAGCGGCTCCGCTCCATCCTGGAGCTGCTGTTCCGCGAGGGTGTCCTGGTCGGGGAGCGGGACGGGTGCCCCCGGCGCACCCACCCGCAGCTGCCCGGCGTGGCCAACGTGGAGGTTCGGCGCGCCATGGCCTCGCTGCGCTCCCGCGGCCTCGTGCGCCAGACGGCGGCCTGGCGACACCTCTACTGGTACCTGACGGACGCCGGCGTCGCCCACCTGCGCCAGTACCTGCGGCTGCCCCCGGACGTCGTGCCGCGCTCCCTGCAGCGCGTCCCGCGCCCCGCCGCCCCCCGGCCCGAGCCCCGCCGCGCCGCTGCCCCGGCCGGCACCGGCACCGGCACCCACCGGGCGCGTCCTGCCGCCGGTGACCGCCTCTACCGCAGGAAGGACGAGGGCGAGGGGCACGTGGAGCGCGTCGCCGTCACCGCGGGGCAGGGGCTGTCCCAGCCGCCCCCCCAGCCCAGCCCGGCCGCAGGTACCAATGGGCGCCCCGGGGTGCTCCTGGTGCTCTCGTGGGTGGGGGGCACTCGAGCCCCTCTGCTGCCAGGGGGGGTCTGGGACAAGGACAAGTCCTTAAGCTCCCCTTAACCCCCCCGTTTCCCAGCCGAGGATGGGGTGGGGGGTACCTGCAGGCCCCTGTGCTGTCTGGGGAGGGAGGAGGGTGCTGGGGGCCTCCTCGCTGGGCCCCCCTAACCCCACGGGGACGCTCTGGGCAGGAGTGGTCGCCCACGGGAAGCCGGGGTGCAGGGAGGTGGCTTCCCGGGGTCCCCGAGAGGCCGGTGGGGTGACGGGACCAGGGGCGCTGCAGGGGTGGCATCGCTGCCGCCCTCCCGGGCTCCACCGTGGTGGGGAGGAGGCTGTGCCAGGGGAGCGGGGCCTGGGGGCATGTGCTGGGGGGTGCCCGCGCTGTGGGGAGCAGTGCTTCAGGGGGTCATGGCGGGGAGCGGGGCGGCATTCCGCGGGGATTTTGCACCCCGAGGTCCCCACCGGGCATAGGGTGGGTCGGACAGACGGCGGCAGCTGGGGCGGGCAGTGCTGCTGGGGAGGGGGCTGCGACTGCGGGGGGGTCCCCAACCCCGCCTCCCTGGCGACACGCGATCCCGACACACGATCGGCGGCAGCTGGACCCGGCGGGGGTGCGGGGCGCCCGGTGTCCCACCCCCCCGGGCGGGGCAGCTGTGGTGTCGCTCCGAGGCGGCGATGCGGGGCCCCCCCGTTCCCCCCGGGGTGTGAGTCAGCCCGTGGCCGTGGGCAGCCGCCTCCGGTCCAAGTTTCCAGGCTGGAGGCGCCGAGCCCGTTCCCTGCCAGCGCCGTGAGTCACCGGCCGGCGGGGGGGCCGGGCCCGCGGCGCTGCTGCCCCGTGGGTGCGGGTCCTGCGTGGGCGGCACCTGCGTCCCGTGGGTCGGGAGGGGTTCCCCGAGCTCCGGCCAGGCGGTCACACCTCGCGCGGGGCTCCGGGGCTGCGGGCGCTGCTCGAACCTCGCGTGGGACGCGATCGTGGCCGTCCCGTCCAGTCCCGCCGTGCCAGCGGATCCGGCTCCAGGCTTTCCCTCCGCCCCGAGAGCCGCTGCCGGAAAACCCGGCCTGGAATACGCGCTTGCGAGGACGGGGTCTCGCCGGCGGCGGGGGAATTGCGGGGTCCCCGCGGGGCGGAGGGGATCCCGGTACCCCCCAGAGACCCCATTTTCCCCCCTGCCCGGGGGGACGGCCTCCTTCGGCGGCGGGGCCGTGCCGAGGCTCTTAGTCCTGATGTCACGGCGACCCCCGAGGTGGCGGCCCGGTGACCCGCCCCGGTGCCGGGGGGTCCGGGGGTCCTGGGACGCCGCCGCGGTCGCCCCGTCCCGCCCCCGCCCGTGTCATGTTCTAACTCGGGCTCGGTGACGGGCCCCGGTTATTTATATCGACACCCGCTCCCTGCCCGCCCCCCCCCAGCCCCCGCCGCCACCGGCGGAGCCGCGCTGCGCCCTCGCTCCGCGCTCCGCACCTGCCCGCACCCTGCCCGCACCTGCCCGCACCCTGCCTGCCCATGAAGGTCGTACCGGGTGGGTGAGACCGGTGGGGCTGCGGAAAGGACGGGAACGGGGGGGGCTGGCGCCGCCGGGGCGCGTTGTTCCGGGATATAAAAAGCCGGGATGAAGGGGACACTCCGGGAGGGGGGGGACGGACGCGGAACGGGGGGGACACGGGGGGGCCCTGCCGGTGCGGCGGGCAGGAGGCGGCTCCGCGCCGCGGTTCGGGAGGGGTTAAGGCGGAGAGGGCGCTGCCCCGCGGGGGCGGGCGCTGGTTCGTCCCTGACCCGCCGAGCCCGGCCGGTGCCGAGCCCGTCCCGTGTCCCTCATGGAGGACACCGGGTCCCTGTTCCCGTCGCTGGTGGCGGCGGGGCACGCGGCATCCCTCGCCCTGGTCTGGTACTGGCGGCGGCAGCGGGACGAGCCGGGGGGCACCGGTGAGTTCGGCTCCGCTCGGCCCCCCCGCCCCGCGCTCGGCTCGGCCCCTCGCCCCGCCCACCCGCCCCGGGGAAGGGGGAGCCAACCGACACCGGCAGCCCCGCTGGGTCCCGGTGGGAGGGTGGGGGTCCTGGGGGAGCCCCACGCACCGTGGGGTGGGGGACAAGGGGAGAGACGCGCCGCCCTGGGTGCGGGGAGCGTCACCTGCCGTGGGGGAGCATCCCGGTGGGAGTGGTACCCAAGTGGTGGGAGCGATGGTACCCAGGGGTGACTCAGCACCGGCACAGTGTGCCCCCCGCCCGGTGCCGCCGCCCCCTGCCCACCCTGTCCCCTCTGGCACTTTTTCGAGTGGAGGTCCCGCCAGGAGCTTCCCTGGCACTGAGCTGGTGCCCAAACCCTTCCGCAGCATCCCCATCCCGAGGCACCAAGGTGCCAAATATTTTTGGGGACGGGTATCTGGTGACAGAAGGGGCCGGCAAGGGCCGAGAGGATGCCGGTGTCTGGGGGTCCTCTGAGACCCCCACACGCAGCCCCGGCGCGGCCGCAGCCGTATCGGAGCTGCCGGGGCGGGCCCCGGCCCTCCCCCCCGGTACTTTCCAGGGCGTTGGCTGCGGCTTCCGTCGGTCTGTGTGTGGCACTGGGCACCGTCACGCGGCCGCCGCCGCTCCGGGATGGCCCCGATCCCGCGGCCGCCGCGCTGGGAATCCACGGCCGAGCCCGCGGCCGGTGCCGGTGCCGGTGCCGGTGCCGGTGCCGGTGCCGGTGCCGGTGCCGGTGCCGGTGCCGGTGCCAGATAAGGCGGGCAGGGCACCTTGGCCGGGCCGGAGCCCCGCTGCTCACGGCCGGGGGGGCCGCTGGCTGTCCCTGGCGCCGGTCCAGCCCGAAGGACACCCCCAAGGTCGCACCTGCCGGGGCCCATCACCGCCCTGCGCCGCGCCGCGCCGCGACCCCCCCGAGCCGGGAGCTCCCGGGGGGCTCCGGCGGCACCGGCTGCGCTGGGCGGCGCTCAGGGCTGCGCTTCTGCCGTACCTCGGGGCCCGGGGATGTGCCCCGGTGCTGCCCGCTAAACCGGGGCAGCGGTTCGGTTTAGAGCGCTGTTGGTGAAACCCAAGTGGTGGGGAAGGGGGGCTGCCCGGTGCCCACAAAGGGCTGCCCGGTGCCCGCGGGGGGCTGCCCGGTGCCCGCAGTGGGCGGTGCCCACAAAGGGCTGCTCGGTGCACACGGGGGACTGCCCGGTGTATATGAAGGGGCTGCCCGGTGCACACGGGGGGCTGCCCGGTGCCCGCGGGGGGCTGCCCGGTGCCCATGAAGGGGCTGCCCGGTGCCTGCGGGGGGCTGCCCGGTGCACACGGGGGACTGCCCGGTGCCCATGAAGGGGCTGCCCGGTGCCCGCGGTGGGTTTCTCGGTGCCCGCGGTGGGTTTCTCGGTGCCCACAAAGGGACTGCCCGGTGCCCGCGGGGGGCTGCCCGGTGCCCATGAACGGGCTGCCCGGTGCCCATGAAGGGGCTGCCCGGTGCCCGCGGTGGGTTTCTCGGTGCCCACAAAGGGCTGCCCGGTGCCCAGAGGGGTTTCTCGGTGCCCACAAAGGGACTGCCCGGTGCACACGGGGGACTGCCCGGTGCCCATGAAGGGGCTGCCCGGTGCCCATGAAGGGGCTGCCCGGTGCCCGCAGTGGGTTTCTCGGTGCCCACGGGGGACTGCCCGGTGCCCACAGTGGGTTTCTCGGTGCCCACAAAGGGCTGCCCGGTGCACACGGGGGGTTGCCCGGTGCCCGCGGGGGACTGCCCGGTGCCCGCGGTGGGTTTCTCGGTGCCCACAAAGGGCTGCTCGGTGCCCGCGATGGGTTTCTCGATGCCCACAAAGGGCTGCCCGGTGCACACGGGGGACTGCCCGGTGCCCGCGGGGGACTGCCCGGTGCCCGCAGTGGGTTTCTGTGCCCACAAAGGGACTGCCCGGTGCCCACGGGGGGTTACCCGGTGCCCACAAAGGGACTGCCCGGTGCACACGAGGGGCTGCCCGATGCCCGCGGTGGGTTTCTCGGTGCCCACAAAGGGACTTCCCGGTGCCCACAAAGGGCTGACCGGTGCACACGTAGGACAGGCTGTGCCAGCTGCTCTCGGTGTCGCTTGTGGCACAGTGCCAAGGCAGGTGTTTTCCGGGGACGCCCCCGCTCAGCCGGAGCTGCTGTCCGGTTCTGCATCGCCGTGCCCGCGGGCAGAGGGCTGGAGGGCAGAAGGCTGCGGGAGGCTCGGGCGGGCACCAGAGCTTGGCAGCCTGGCGGCGGCGCCGGCTGCTTTTGGCAGCAGGATGCCGCTGTTTGTTTGGCTGCGCTCCGGTTTCCAAGGCTGCCAGAGACGTGGCGGCAGTGGGCGGGTGGGGGCCCCAGAGGTTTGGGAACCCCCCCGTGTCCCCCTTTCCGCTGCACTCAGCTTTTCCACCGCGCTGGCGGCTCTGGCGGTGCCAGGCCGGGAGCGCTGTTGGATGTCGCTTCTGGCCGCAGCACTGACTCACCGGCCCCGAGGGGCCGTGGCTGGCAACCACCGGCATCCCCGGCGCGGCCCCCCCGGCACGGCCTCCGCCCCCCGGCGCTGCTTCGGGCGGCCACGGGGAAGCTCTTCCCGCCGCTGTCCCACGTCCTCCGCGGTGCGGCCGTGGGAAGCGTCCCGGAGCCGTGGGAAGCGTGCGGGAAGCGTGGCGGGCGTGGCAGGAGCATCCCACGGCACGCGTGTCCCGTTCCAGGCGGTGTTCCCCGCGCCCGGCTGCTATCGCCCCGGCTCGGCCCCCCTGCCCCCGCCGGCTCCTTATCTCCGCAGCGCAGATGGGACGCTGCCGCTGCCGTGGGTCGGCACCGTGCCACGCCGTGCCGTGCCGTGCCGTGCCCAGCCCCCACTGCTGGGCCTTGCTGCTGGCCTGGTTCATCCTGGCTGGCTTGTGCCATGTTGGGTTTTAACGCTAGCCCCCCCAAGGCCCCCGAGACCCCCGTGCTCCCCGCAGCAGGGATGTGCCTTGCCCCAGCAGCCCCCTCAGTACCCGGGGTGCTGGCACGGGCTGCAGCCGACCTCAAACCACTCCAGTGCCTCCCTGACGGGGACCCTGTGCCTGGCCATGCCCGTGCCAGGCCCGTGCCATGCCCGTGTCCCTGCCTGGCAGAGGGTTCCAGCCCCTCCAGCTTTGTCCCCGCTGCCCGCTGCGCTCTGCCCGCAGCCGTGCGGGACCGGGGGCTCCCAGCAGAGCGGCCGGGGCTGGGCTCCGCGCTTCCCAGGAGCAGGAGGAGCCGGC